CAGAATCAACCAGCCTGCAACGAGCGTCTGGTTTTAGCAAAGATCAAGGAGACCATTTTTATTGTAAAAAAACTTTTATTGTAAAACTCATTTTTTATACTTAAAGTTAAGCTTTTTATAGTGTTGAAATAATTTGTAACGATAAAAGTTAGTATTCAGGCTGCAAGTTTTTGTATTTTACCTAAAAGTAGTTGTACTTAACCCTGTCCAATATTACCCTCCAAAAATCAGAGGGGCCCAAATGTAAGGGTTGGAAAAAGCGTGGAAAATTGATATATGCATTCCTACAAGAAATATTGTATTGATTGTGTATATAAATAGCATTCCAAACTTTAATGTAATGCATAGTAAATAATGATTTCTCTTATCACTAATTAGAAAATGGAAAAAAAGCTTAAGTGTCCGATACTACCCGACCTTCCCCTAATATCTTTTAAGATGAGGTATCAATTAATGCTGATGTTTATTTGCACATTCCTATAAAATAAACTAGCCCATGTTTTTCTTATGGAATGTGATGTACCTTATGTTTCCAAGTTTTATGTAAGTACAGAAACGTATTGAGGGATGGAATAATTTTAATTCAAAATAAATTGTGTTCAATATAATATGAATAAAATGTAGTCATGCCTGATTGAGTTACATTTTAATACCTCTCAATTTTTACATAAACAAAAATTGCATTAACCGCGCATTTACAAAATCAACTTTTACAGGCTTTTTGAACTGCTAGCAACACTTCCGAACATTACCAGCATTGATCTGAGCCTCAATGAGTTTATAACCATGGAAGACCTGATGAGGTTGGTCCACAACAGTCATATAACAGAGTTCAAACTCTCCAGGAGATGTGAGAGGCCCAAGATAACAGATGAGGAGTTTGTTCACCTCATAAGAATGATGAGTCCACGACTTGTCCTTCTGCATTTAGATATGGGAGGAGTAGGGGGCAAGGTTTACAATGTAAGGTTTAGTTGCGTTTCAGATATTCAATAGGAAGTTTATAAGAAATTCAGATTTTGAAAACAATATATGAGGATTTATTTTGAAAGGGAACTCTTAAAATTATCTTAAATAAAACATTCTTGACTAATTAAAAAAAAAAAGGTTGAACATCTGGTTTCTCTCAACCACACTGCAATAATATCGAATATAGTAATATAAAAATCCTGCACCTATCAAACAACCGATTAAATAGAAACACAGAATTCGGAAGCCATATGGCTGTTAAATTAGACAGCCAAAACATCATCAACGACAAGATTTTGTTCCTAACTAATTACATACGACATGCAATTAAGATACTGGAGCTAGGTACAGTTGTGAATGAAACTATCAGTTGATTGGGAAATACAGGCACAACATCATCACTGACCACGTTGTTGATCCTAACCGACAGTCTAGACATAACTCTCGCCCACGTTGTGTCCTACAGGCCTACCGTTTTAGTATTTTTTAATCCTAAATGTTCCTATTTCACGTGTTTGTGTTTTGTTTATTTATTTATTATCAATTGACGACCTCTGAATGAAGCGAGAAGACATCTTTAATAGCCTGAAGATGACTCATATATGTGAGTTGAAACCGGTAGCAACTCAGCTACAAACGAAACAGGATCGCATAAATGCAGGTATTTACCAAAACTAATTATGGTCTCACCAGTCACCAAATCACTCTTTGACACTGAAACCCTCTGCTTTTGGAAAAATCAAGTTTATATCAAAGTTATGGTTTGTTTGAACTCGCCCCAGGTGAAATTTACTGAAATACTAGGTTAAACTTGACAGCTCCATTGACAAATTTTGAATTCATGATAATAGCTGTATTATTGAAGGTTAAATGTTAACATTTGATTGATTAAATAGATATAATTCTTGTAGTCTATAAAATGAGATTTTATGTATGTGTATGGTTCTAATTGTTTAAATTAATTTTCAGGAAATCCTCAGCTGCATCAAACTGGTTGATCTTAAACTCAACAATGCATTGAATCTAAGTAAATCGGTTTTGAATCAAATTCCTCACCAGTTGAGGAAGTTAAAGCATTTAAGTATTGAAGGTCCAACTCATGGCCTGAACAAAGATGATTTTCATGTTTCTCTTTTCATAAACAATGAGTTTGGAATGAAAATTGAGAGTTTGAGGCTTGAAAAATGTGATTCCTTAAGAGACAAAGAGTGTTGCGACGTGGTCCAATCTTGTCCGAACTTGGTGGTTTTTAGTTTACAAGGATGTAAGGGTGTGAGTCTTCAGGGTATTGCACAAACGTTAACAAAGGCTAAAAAGTTAAAACATTTAAATATTGCTTTCTTGGGCAATGTGTCAAATGTGAATATTCAGGACTTTCGGGAGTTAAAAGAATTGGTTATTGATGAAGCATCACTTAAGAGGATTAATATTTTGGGCCAAAATGAGGAGCTGAATATCGTTAAAGTGTGATTGTTTATCTTTTTACTTTTTGCTTTGAGATTTAATAAATATATTATAAGAAATGATTTTGTGTCTGTGGTATCATTAGTAGTACTGTAGAGTTTATAACACAACTGTATAGTTAAACTAAACGTTTCAATCAATAAATATTATTTTTATCCAAGTTAAGGTGATAAAAACACAAAACCAATTGAAAACACAAAACAATTTATTAACAAAACAACAGTCTTTTCATAACAAAGTCAAAAATTATTTTAAATTAAGCGGACATAACAAACGACACTCCCTAAAATTAATAAGTTAGCAGAAAAAGGAAAAAATATTATGTATAAAATAGAGACTAATTTGCACCGTCCAAACACTTGGGAATCTTAATAATATCCCAATTTAAATCTGTATAGTTTTAATTACTTCTAAATAATAAATCCCAACATTATTCCTGAGAATAAGACTAAATCTATTTCTTCAACTCTAAAATTATGTATATAGATTTTGCTACAGTAATATTATTGCATTTAACTATATTAGTTCACCAACAAATTTCTACTTTATAAGGAGGTTTTAGAGCTACATAATTGTGTTGACAATTGAGATCAAGCAAAATAATCATTTAAAAAAAGGGTTTTTGGGTATTAAATCCCTACTTTCACAACAAATGAACCTTTAATGGGGTTTTAAATAATAAACAAACATCTAAAAACAACTAAAGCTAACTTACAACTAATATACTATCATACATACACAATATATTGGCACAAAAGCATTTGAAGTTCTCTGAACTTAAACTATAAAAAAAAGGTATTTGGCGAGTCTTGAACATGATCGTAGAGTCTAAAAAAAGTTATCATAATCCGTAATATAAATCCCAAAGTACCCATGTACTTTTGAGAAAACTACAAGTCACACCCCCATAAACTATATACTTAAAATGAAATGTTTGTTATGACGAGAAACCTTGCGCAAAACTATCCATTATTTCATAAATTGCCCTTTAAGGTCGTAATTCCTTTCTAAAGGGAACTTTCCACATACTTAATGTTAAAATACCTCAGCTGTACTTATTTGTTTGTTATTATTTCAATTTATTACCTTATTAAATAAAATCAGGTGTGATTATTTGTTTTTATTACTATATTCTGTTTTATTTATTTCAGCTTAACTTAACCAATCAATAGTTTTATTAATACTTATGAAGTCAAACGGGGTCAAGCCCTTGAGTAACAACTAGTAAGCTATAAAAATAAAACTAAAGATGACAACACGTGTGTAACGCAAATGCCTTAAGAAAATCAATAATATGGTTAACAACAACAAATTTCAGTCAAGAGGTCTTCAACCTCACTTTTAGATTATTTCCACCCAAACCTTTATGTTCTCAACTGATTACTTAGGCCTAATATGGAGTTCAAAAAAGAAATATGTATACAGAATGTTTTTTTTTTTTTATTAACTTTAAATGCCATATGCCACCTCTTCTTTATATAACAGGTTACGTACCTTGAAGTCCACAAGTCCTCAGTCGAACTTCCGTTGACTAGTTTTGACTACTAAGTAGTCAATATCAAAACAGAACGTTAAAATATTCCATTCATTGAATATTGTTGAATTTAAAAAACACATTTAACACATATACATAACACAACACATTTAACAAAGCTGGCCACCCGCCACACGTCACTGAACTGGTCAACGATTCTACTCACAGAAAGAGTAGGAATTGTGGATGTCAAGGTACGTAACCTGTTATAATTCATTACCAATTCCGGAAGGCTTCAACATGATTAACCGGGAAACTCAGGTCCTAAAACCTCTGGAGGGGAATTCACTGTACTAAACTAAATATAGAACTTAAATCAAGAAAAGGTTCACTTGGGGAATCATAATATAGTATAGCCTACTATTTTAAGAACTTAAAATTAATCTCCAATTAAATTTGAGTTGAAAAAGCTATCAGTTGTGTCTGCCATGTTTTTTCACTCGAAAGGTCAGTGCTAAAAGTATAAGAGCATGTTTGTAAGCATTGTACTCATTTAGACAGAATTTAAATTCTGGAGTATTCACAATGAAAGTTTCTATAAAAACGCATTGTTTGTTGAACCCATCAGCTTAGCAGGACGTCAAATAAAGTGTTTCAATAACCAAAGGAAACAAGTAAAGAGTCCATTTTATACAACAACTTATTTAACAACATACTACATAACAACTTAAATATTAAAACAAACAATAACAATAAAACACAAGCATTACAACCCTTAAGAAAACAACACATTGATAGTAAGTATGCCTATTTTATAAATTGACGGTCAGTGCTAGTTTGATTTTCTATTGAGGATAAAAAGCACGTGAACTTGGTGATACATTTCATTTCATCTTATTGTTTATAAAACCTACCAAGGAAAGATCAAATCTTTATTCCAATAATAAAGGATGTGTCTATGACATTAAAAAATCACGATTCATTATAATGCTGCTGGAAGCACATGATGTTTTCTGGCACCAACATTGATTTAATTTACAGTGTGTTATAAAACGAAACTTGACTTGAGTCAAAAGAAAACGACTAATCCATGAAATTGTGTAAAAAATAATGGTAAGTCTAAGGAACAATACGCTGGATTCACCAGGTATTACATCTGTCATGATATAATTAGTTTAATCCATGCATTTAATATATTGCAACTTTTACAGGTACACTTATCACTTTCAAACTATTCAGATATTCCAGAGTATCTTAAATCTTATCTCAAATGAAAACCATGGAATGTTGGTTGATTATTATTTCAACTTGGATTGATTTGATCAATTAATTTAACGCACGATTGTGTATTTCAGTAAATTAATAATTAATAAATGAAGAGACTTGATTGAACTTTTAGTTACGTGCCAAATTTATAATCTAGTCTTATGAAACATTGCCACTGAGTCAAATTAAACAGGTCAAAGAAATAATATTTAGTTAATTTTTGAGTTCCCTTCACACTTCTAATACTAAAAATAAAAGCTCAAAACACTATCGCTAAATAGTATAATTTTCATTTCCATCAATGTGATGGTAAGCTACTTCAAACTAGTCGTAGTTTTAGCTGTGTCAGCTTTGAAGGTATTTACTAAATATCATCAGAGCAAAAGACGATACGAAGAATAGTCCACAAGGCACCATGGATAGCACACGAATGTTATTCTCTGAAAAATTAAACAATTATGTCAATGTTTTATCATCTACAAATTGCAAATAAGCTTGTTTGTACTACTGACTGGATAAGTACTTGTGTGGAGCCTTACGAAAGTATTACTTGTACAGTAGCTTAGATGTGTGCGAGCAGCTCAATTTTGTATCCGAGCCGAGCCTAGCTTAAAAGCTCGAGTGATGGAGCACCATGTCAGAAAATCAAGCTTAAGTAAATATTATCTCGATAGCAGAAAGTGTCTTTGAAGATTTTTGGGGTTGGAATTTGAGCTTTGCTACTATTGCATGTGACTATAATGTATTCAAGATTGCAGGGAAATCTCGGGTTTGTACACCTCCAAATAACAGCTTCCCCAACTATTTTGTTAACTTGTGTTGTACGTTAGGTCTCTTCTCAACCGACACTAACGGGACTGGACCTAGGTCAGATAACTCAAAAGTTCGGTTAAAACAGGCTATCCCTAAAAACTTTACAAAAATTAAGTGAAATTCATTTGGAATTATGCAATTATTATTCTGAAGTCGTGCGTGCATTATTTACAAGATAAACAAGAAACAACACTTATTTAGGCTACTTTGATTTTTTTTTTTAGTATTGGCGATCATAAAAAAATCCAAAACACGGTAAAGTCCAATACAAAGAAAGAATTATAGGCCTAGTTGTGGGCAAGAGTCAATAAAAATTTTTATTTTAATACCTTTAGTAATATTTATTGATCCTTTCCAAATCAATCTAAATACAGTACCTACAGAACTTTTTGTCAAATTAAAGAAACATGCAACCATTTCGTTACGACAAGCAGGTTATGTTTATTTATAGTTGTACCTATATTGTCTATTGTCTAGAGCCTGTAACATCCTGTAGAGTTAAGCGTATTGTTCCCATCCCCAAATGTGTGGGGAGCGAGCTGGCGTAGTGGCTAGAGCGCGGGACTTTGGTCCGTGAGGTCCCTGGTTCGATCCTCGCCAAGTCACCAATGGATTTTATCTAAGTGATAATGCCGCAACCCCTAGGTCTAGCCTGAAGTAATGTGAAAAACAATCCCAGGCTCGTGCCTAGCGTCCTAGGACAAAAAAAAAAAAAAAAAAAATCCCCAAATGTGGGAGCGGAAATACCGAGATTCCTAGAAAGCGGCGGTTAAACCAAACTGCTCTCAAATCAAGGTCAGTTAAAACAAACTGTAATATTTTACGAGAAAGGGTGAATAATCCAATTGTCAGTTAATCCTTGGTCAGTTAAGAGAGGGTCTACTGTATAATGTTTATTAATTATAGTATCAAAATAGATATTTCATCCAATGCAAGTCTTTTTTAAATAACCCTATTAGTCTAGGCATATTAGGAAAGTTAGCGGAAAGTTTAGGTACAGTCCTAATCATCACTTTTCTTTATGTTTTTTGGGTCGCTGAACACGAATATGAGGTTTGCTGACAGATATTTTGCCCGGAACATTGGTTATTTGGTGAAAAACCTTAAAATTTGGGCACTTTTTTTGGTTTTTCGGGCAAATCTCGGCAAGTATGGGTTTTTGAGAAAATCCTGCTTTGTAAAATTAAAGATGACAAATTTTACTACAAGTTTCCTATATAATGTCCTGTATAAGGTTTTTCACCAAATAACCAATGTTCCGGGCAAAATATCTGTCAGCAAACCTCATATTTGTGTTCAGCGACCCAAAAAACATAAAGAAAAGTGATGATTAGGACTGTACCTAAACTTTCCGCTAACTGTCACTTATATTCCTAATATGCCTAGCCTATATTGCTTATGAGGTAATACCTGTATGTTTGTGGATTAGATTCCACACTTATACAACTCCAAACAAAAAAGGTTTCTCCAAAATAAAGTGGCATAAAAACCTTAAATTTACAATCAATAAGTTTGCTTACCTAGATTATTTCCATTAGTTTTCCGAGGGGTTGCATCTAGATCCCAGCCTAAACTTTTTTGAATTGCTTTCTTCCACTTATCATACCTCAAATCTCGTTCTGAAATTCAAAACAACTTACATCAACCTTTTTTAGGGAAGAGGAGGAAAAATGTGTCCACGCATAGGTGGCCAGCCTGTAATGTGAAACACCTGAATTTATAAGACTACTCACTAAAAAAGCTAACTAACTTATAGAAGAATTAAAATTTTTTTGTCCAGCATTTATTTATCAAATCATATCTCTTTGCAATATCTTATGAACATTACCAAATGTGTAGTTGGATGATTGATGCTAGGAATCATTACAGATTTTATAAACACGTCCCACTAAATGTCCACTCAGGTACCAATCTCAATGGTTTTGCATTGTAATATAACACAGATTGCTGCAATTGCGTGTGATGATGAAACAATAGCAAAGAACATGTGAGTTTTAGCATTGCAATTGCAAGTAATCTATCAGTATCTACAGTCACTCACACGTACCATCATCAGTTATGGTGGGCAGATAAGTGTCGCTGGGTACCGGTTGCATATTGTTCAGGTCCCACACACCAATACCTTCGGCACTCCCAGCAGCCATGGCAGCTCCTAGAGCAGTGGCCTCGAACATCCAAGGATGGACTGCAAAAAGGTTTTTTATTTAAAACACATTACATAGTAGGTTTATCCTATATCTAGGAAATACAAAAATTGAAGGAATAAAAAGACCCCAAATTTTGCTAATCTAAGCAGGACTTATCTGGACAATGTCCACAAAACAAACTTGACGTAGAAGTAGACTTGGAATTAGTAAACTTTTTTATAGTTTTAGGTTAAAGATATAACATAGAGCACAAGGGCTTTGGGTTTTAGGACTTCTTGTGGGGATAGCTGTCTTACTTAAAAGGGAAAGAATCCAAACTGACAAAATAGGAACACAACTTTACATTATGATTTTAATGTAAGGTTGTATGTCTATTGCGCCAGCAGTTTTGGTGACTTGAGGGTATGATATGAAAAAAATATGTAGATTTGTGATTGACAAATTTTACTATGCTTGTGTAAATTGACAAATGTATAAGTTACTTCCTATTCTCTCATTTTCCACTAGTTCCAGAAGAGTGTGTTAGGAAGGAAGGCCTAAACAGGACTAGAGAAAAATATTAATACAAATAATTTGAAGCTTGTCTCATACATTTAATCTCTATATGTAAACTACAATTTAAATCGTAGTGCACTACAATATTTAATCATTTACTTTTGATACCTGACATATTAAATTGAAGTTATTTTTTATTATAATAGGCTGTACGGAACCGAAGTTGTACTGTACCAAACCGATGACGGTAATTAAGCCAGAGCCGTACCGAACCGACTCTTTCGATGCACCGCAGACCCCTATAAATAACATAATACAGGCTAGGCCTACATACCGACAGGTATTCCGCACAGGTCAGCTTGTAACTGCATCGCGTAGCCGTTCACAGTCATGCCTCCGTCCACCAGTAGCTTGGTCAATGGAATCCCACAATCCTGGTTCATGGCCTCCAGAATATCCCTGGTTTGGAAACACACAGCCTCCAAAGCGGCCTGTATGATGTGCTCCTTCCTGGTGTCCTGCGTGATTCCGGAGATGATCCTGCCAATGACGTTACGTTAGTTAAAAATTAGCAAATAGAAATAATATTCTTTATGAACACTTAAGGAAGACATTAACAATTTTTAATTCCAGTGCACCTTTATACCTTATGCGTTAAACAATAGATAACATCTTCAAAAGTAAGTTTTTACAATTTATCTTAACTTGAAATGATGATCATGGAATCATTATTGTCTTTTGCAACTGAGGCGACATGAGAATTTCTAACCGTGCAATCTTTAGGCCTACAGATGAAAACAAATAATTTGGCTCGGGAGCAAGTTGTTCTAGTGGTAGAGCGTGAGACTTCGATCCGCAAAGTCCTGGGTTCAAATCCTGCAAATCACCAGTGGATTTTATCCATGTGATAATGCCGCAACCATCTAGGACTAGCCTAAAGTAATGTGTAAATCAGTTCCTGACTATCACTTTGCGTCCCCATCTCATTGATTGATAATTGATCTTGATTATAAAACTGGTGCCAATTTTAACATCAATGTAATTACAAGTTCTAACAAAAATAGTCAAAGACTCATTGTGTCATATCTTCATTCCTGTGTGATATTAAAGATACAATACATAAACACTTTTATTAGTTTATGATCATGGACCTCCGATTTTTTTCTTTAGACAGTAAAACTCGCAAACATTAAACTTTAGTAATAAAACATCGTACCCACGTGCGTCATTGCGCCAGTAGGGAGCGTATAGGCCGGAGAACGCCGGGACAAACACAATATGGCCTGTAGCACCGGCAGCCTGCGCCACAGTGGCTGTCTCCTTCACATCAGACAACAGGTGGAGATTGTCCCGTAGCCAGGTGAGAGCTGCGCCGGCCACGGCTACGGAACCTTCCAGAGCGTAGATAGCCGGCGCGTTTCGACCAAGCTTGTAGGCTACTGTTGTCAGCAGCCCGTGTGAAGATAACACTATCTGACGAGGAGGGTTGTGATTAGAACATATTTAGGTTTGTTAATAAATCGTTTGAAGAAACCTAATGTAGAATAGGTAGCACACAAATAACAAATTAAGGTAAAGGAAAAAGAGTGAAATATGATTAGTAGACATTCTTAATTAGTACAACTTTTTTTCTTTTATACTAAAGAACATTTATCAAATTATGGGAGAATCAGGTGGGAGGTCAAGGATTAACTAGGGAAAGTGTGGGACTCTACCAAAGCGTGAGGCAGTTAGTTCTACCTAGGTTACGGGAGGATCCAATGACGCAGGTATAAGTATGGAATGTACACGAGTATAAAATATATTGACACTTTTTGTGATATAATTACATTAAAACTGAAATTGTTATTTGTTATTTTTTGTAAACATTGATAGCTTAACCTAAAAAACTTTATTAACACCATATTTACATGATTTACCACTTAAATTTGCATTGAGTTATTCCATTCAGCTATATAGCCGATTAAATTGAATCAAAGATATATTTTTTTAACAAATCGGTAAGTTACAGTCTAGTTTTGCTTTCACGATCAATAGAAGGTGTTTAAATGTCTTCCCTTATAACGGGTTTAAACTTAAGCATATATAACAATGCACTTGTTAATTGGTTAGATCCTTTATATTGGTGCAAATAATCTTATAACGATATACTGAACTCACTGCAGTTCCTGTGTTATAAAGAAGGAAACATCCAGTTCCGTAGGTGTTCTTGGCTTGTCCTTGCTTCAAACACATCTGTCCAACCAAAGCTGCCTGCTGGTCTCCTAGACACTGTAAACATATTGAAGCGGTGAACTAAGTGTAGGGTTTAAATTAAAATGAACGTTTATCAAGTCAACCCATAAGAAAAGTTAGTGATTAAAATTACCTACCAGTGCTATGCCTACTCAAAATGTAATTTCTCAGAAACTTGTCTCAGTTTAAGGTAAATCGTTTGCATCCTGCTCCCACTAATATTTATCAGTATCAGTACAGTTCATACTTGTACTGTATCAGCTCTTCTCTTGTCTTGATTGCAACTTTTCACCCAAGCCAGAGCCTTATATGTATAGACAAATGCAAGGTTGAAAGAAGCTGCGAACCTCTTTCATAAAAACCTCTTACTCTACCAAAAAGAAAGGTCAACTGATGTCCTAATATGCATACAAACAGCTGTTCGACCCTAGTTACGTTAATTCACATTTATTTTTGAACGGTACTGTTTCAAATGAAGGGAATATCGGAAATATGTGTTTGGGTGTTGATCTTGTTCTAGGCTTACACTTGATAAGCCAAGAATTTCTATTGCTTGAAATTGAATAAAATATTCATCCATGCTCTAGCAAGGATAGCAACGTTTATAAGAAAAAAATACTCAATACACAATATTTTATTAAATAATAACTTTATCAGAATATCAAAAGTAGTATAGGCACTATTGAATGCTGATCCTTGCCTCTTGAGCTGGCATTAAATATTGAATTAAAAGATAGTGATAAAGATAAAACCAACTACTTACACCCGAGATAGGAACTCCTCTTAATAAACCCTCGGCCAAGTAGCCGTAGATTTCCGATGAACTTCTAACTTTCGGAAGAATACTCATGGGGATCCCAAAAAACCTAAACATAAAGGAAATAGGCCAGATTGATTTTTTGTTAAGCATTGCAAAGAAATTTAAAACATATTTTTTCTTAGGAGAACCGAGAATGGTAACTTATGGTATGTTAATTAAATTGTATTTATACTAAATAAATGTCATTACATTTCATTGAAAGGCATTATATGTTTATCCACTTTCCAACTTGCAATACATATTACATCTACAGATTTTACCCAATGTCTTGAAAACAAAGACCTTAATTTAGAGTATCTTGAATGTAAATTTTAAAAGAAAATTATTGAACATTAGCAGGTGCATGGAAATGACGTCATAAATCCAGAGATTTCCAAAATAAATGTAGACCTTGATTAAATAGGGAATGTTGATTAACTTTATCACTGAATGAGGGCTTTGATGAAACATTATAATTGACACTTTACAGCTAGACACTAAGTAGGGATTAGTACAGTCGTTAGTCTAGCAATGTGGCAAGTCATTTTTAAGTAACACTACAACACTGTAACAGATAACTAACTGTGAAAATACAGCAGTAAAAAACTTCCTAAAACTGTATCAAAAATGTGAAAAATTAACCAAAAGACACTGTGGTGATTTTGAACTTTAAAACAGTTGCTGTAATACAATTTAATAAGGCCGTAAAAATGAATAAGACACTTATAACTTCTAACAATTTACAGGATGTGTTGATTTCGGTTGTTCATGAAAGTTTTAATTTTGTTGGTTCTTTTTACTTCCAAAACTACTATAATCAATCATCTACTATCATATCAAATAATGGGTGAATATAATCTAGGCTACATCTACTACATAGGTCTGCAATTACCATCTTCACTATCTACTACCAAAACTTAATTTGTTTTTAAACTACATTGTCAACAAGTCTAAATTTTAATGATTACAAATACACATGATGTTGAGTTGGAAAATATTACTCTATACAGTTTTCTGGATTTTCTAAAGTCATGGATAAAAGCCAATCCGATTAAGTGTAAGTTGTTTCAGAAGATCACTATCAATGCTACGGGATAATCCTTTGGGGAAATAGTTACTACATCAATGATGTTCTTGTTGCCCAAAAAGAGATTATTAGAACTATATTCAACAAAGATCAAAATGAAAATTGTAAACCATTATTTATTAACTTTAATGCTTTGACTGTGATAAACCTTTATATTTATAATGTATTGTTATCTAGTTTTAAGTTGCATGAAACCTTTGCTCTAATGGATGATTTTCATTGCTTTGACACTAGGAAAAGAGAAAACCTTGACATTCCTTGACTGAAAAAGATTAAAAGAAGCCATATTATTATGGGTAGAAAGTTGTGGAACAAACTATCGCCAAGAATAATTCAACTCCCTTACAATAGTTTTAAGAATGAAATTTATGAATGGCTTGTCAGAAACCCCCTGTATAAGATTGATGAGTTTTTTGCTTTACAACCAATGACATAACCACATATGATTATTTAATACCAGCCTTTCATGTATTTTCAGCCTGTCTATGCTTATCTGCTTATATGTCTATGGACGAATAAATATCATTTCATCATTTCATTTTATTTCATTTCATTACAATGAATAATATTGGGTGATAGGAATAATACTACACTGACTTTCTATGTGTAGTACTTCATTAAGTACACATGCATATTGATAATGAGCATTTTAGATTAGATATATGATTTATACTAATGCTCAGAGTGCATTTTTACAGCCAAGATGAGAGCTGAATTGAATGATTTTTAATCCAATCCCTGCTGCTAAGAACCACTGGTTTTGCCAGAATTCATTTATTAAAAGTCCAAAAAGTGAGGACAGCTGGTAAAATTTTGAACCATCAAAAAGCTACAGACAGTGGCGACTGGTAGAACAAGTAATGGGAGGATGCATATACAAATTTTTGGGGAGGTTAATGATCCCGAAGGAGGGTCTTGGTTAAAAGTTAAAGATTTTAGTTATTTAAACAAACAGCAGTTTAGGCCACTCTTTGTATATAAACTGTTTTATTCATAATTGTCTTTGTTGTCTGTTTATTCATAATTAATTGTCCTCACCACTTGCATACCATACTTTGCAGAAATATTTTTAATAGAATCCATAATTCATTAGCATCACTGAAAAACATTTCTAGAGAAACAATAGGCTAGTATTGTATTAGTATCTACGAATCACTAAATACTGCATTCACTTATTGACTTTGACTGATCATTCTATTGTGTCGACGTTGACAGTCAACAGATTGCTGTGATCAGCCCTCATTGTGGTATGGTTAGAACTACTGTTCGGACGGAGTCCCAAACGCCCTATTACTGTTACATTAGTGCCTGATGGAGCTCTGTGATTGGTATATTTTTCCATACGCAGGGCCGGATTTAGCACTTTTACGCCCCTAGGCCCAAATCATTTTCCGCCCCCTAGTCTGGTCACAGTTACTTTCCTTCAAACCTTTATTAAAAACTATATCATGCCCATAGGCCTAAGTTAATTGCTTGAATACCACTCCTCGTCGGAATCATTGCAAGTTTTTTTTATTGACTTGTTTAGCCTTAACAAAATGCCGTCTTAAACACAGTTAGCAATTTTATACTTTTAATAAATGCTCACGTTTGTGGCCGTGGGACTGAAACAAAACAAGTAACAATTCAATCCACCGAGAATTCCTGAAAAAAGAAAAAAAAACATGGACATTGATTCCAATTCCAGGCCCAAAAACCTGAACTCCATACAGTACGTTATACCATAGATTAAACATAGGCTACTCCTTTAGTAGATTTGTCATAATTTTGGATTAGCTGAAAACAATTCTTGTTATTTAAGGAGTACGTTTTATCTATGTTTAAACCTAGTTTATCCAAAATAAAACGATCTAATCATCAACAATAGGTCGTCTCCTGTTTATATTACAAGAAATTAAAACACAAATCATAGAACTAACCCTAAAATTATAAAAACAAAATTACGTTAAAACTAACGTCCAGTATCATCAACATGAACTAGACATGAAAAAATATTGAATTAACAATGTCATGAGATGTCGACTTGAGCTATATTTAATCTATGGTCGTACTGCATCTCAGTTTATATTTCCAAAGCAAAACAGAGCCAATACTCCTGCCAACCATACCGATCCTTAGGTCTGAGGAGAAAATGACAGCATTAATGGTGCTTTGGAGGGTATTGAATGTTTCTAAAATCTAATGCAAACTGAGATTGATATTTTTTCGTTAAATTTAAACGTAAATTAATCGTTGTTTTAATATTCAACACAACGTATTATATATTTTAACTTTTGATCCTGCAGATTGTTGTAAACTAATCAAAAGATTAGTTAATAACTTTTGTTTTGTAAAGTGAGGGTGGTAACAATGTCTAGCACGCTTCCGCCCTTAACACTTTGATCAGTAGTGCCGAGCCCGAGCCTGAGCCAGCCAACGAGCCAGCATAGTGGCCCAGTGCAATGACAATACGTTGCGTACCCCTTGGGCGCTCGTCAACGTCAACATCCCTACAGCCTACTCCCGTATAACCAATATTTTGTAACGAATTGTAGCAATTTTGTAACGAAAATAATGCGTAATTCTGAATAATATTTTTAATTTCATAACAATAATTTCTTCTTATGAACTTCAGAAGTTTTTTTTATAAACTATGACTATTTATTTTTATTTTTAGATAGCCTATAAAAAATTCCTCTTGGCCGTGCGCCCTCTGGGACCTTGCGCCCATAGGCCCGGTCCCGGGCCTATTGGGAAATCCGGCCCTGTCCATACGATTTATATGGGACTCAATTCCACAGAAACCTCGCGTACTACGTGCTGCAAAAAATGGTTGCGTCCATTATTACCCATCCTAAAAGTATTGACCCTGCTAACGTTTATGTACATTCAAATGCAGGAATGTAAATCATATTTATGTCAATTACTATAATTTTTACTTTTGTCTTGAAAATGGGAGGACTCCTTCCTAAAGTATGGACAGTTGCCACTGGCTACATGTTTTGGTCAGGATTCACCTTCTTCAAAATAGGTGACCACCATAACCACTAGGCTGACCCAGATTTCAGACTACTCAGTATCATCAGTAAGAGTTGTCATAGTTTTCAACAAACCTACAAAGTGTTGGATCCCACTGTAAAGTTTGTAGATTCATGAGCATGGTCCTTGAAGCATTCGTAACATCGGTGATGTGTAATCCTCCGTGAATACCACCCGTTAAATTCTAAAAAAAAAAACATTCTTTAAAGAGAGCTCTTTTCCTTAAGGCTTAAAAGTTCATTTACATTTAACTAGCGCAGGGCTTTTGCCTGCCAGGCCTAGCCTACATTTTTTGGTATTTCTGAACTTTCAAGACTTTTCTTAAACCATTCCTACGATCCTAATACACAATAAACCAACTTAAACAAATGTTTTTAAAGCGTGGAAACCACCGCAAATTGCGGAAATATAGGCCTACATAACTACTTTCTCATGGCGCGGAGCACATCGCACACCAAGGAGTGGTACAGATCTACTTTGGTTGAAACAATGATTTTACCAAATAAAATATACTCAAAAAAGTAAAAACAACCCCAAAAAAAAACCTGATTTGACTGTGCATGTGGAGAAGGCAGGTTGGGGTTTATGCAGATTCGTGGCTACATTAAGTGTTTTGAAGATGGTTTATTAATGTTACACCCATATTGTTTTTTTTTTATTTTTGGAATATTCCTAGTTGGTTTTAAAACGACGAGACAATTTCTAAAATGCTTGCTTTTTTAAATTTTGTTGTTGTTTAACCTTTAAATGTGAAACTTTACCTTCCAAATATTTTATAATCTTAGGTAGGCCTACCTGACATTGTTATTTAGAATTCATTGAGATAAACTTATTAGGCCTAATGCAAAACCTTAATTGTCACTAAAAATCTATAAAGACTGTCTACATTTCTCTATTGTAAAAAATGGTAAAATTTTACTCACCCATATAAGCCAAGTATCAACAGTACCAAAATAGCATCGTTTTTCATCCACAGCAGCTTTTACCTCCGGAACGTTATCCATTAGCCATCTTAGCTTGAGAGCACTGAAATAAGTGCTTATTGGTAGTCCACTGAGAGCCTTGAGCGTTTCTGCAGTTTTCCCTTTCACTTTGGCTTTCATACGTTCCACTGTGTCCGCTGTTCTTACGTCTAACCAAACTACAAAAGAAACGTGATTTAATCTAAGTAAACTGTTATAGGCCTAATTAATGAAAAATTATTTTTGAATTCCAATGACGTAAAAAAAAGGAAATATAAAAAACTCACATTTGGCTTTATTTTTTTACATTATCATTAACTTAACTAACCTTCCCCCAGTGAGGGAGAAAGTCTGCTAAATTCTTCTTAGTTTTCAACTATGTGAAAACTGAAAAGCAAGTCAGGTTATACTATGTTGTGGTGGGAAATAGGCTACATTTCATAAAACCACAACCCTCACAAAAGATTGAAGCCATTTCCTTTGAAATGTTGTGGATCTTTATGCTTCTTAAGTATGCAAAGTTCATAAGTTACATACCTATAGCATTATACAGTGGTTCCCCAGTAAACGGATCCCACACTATCGTAGTTTCTCTCTGGTTGGTCATTCCAATAGAAACAATGTCTCCAGGGTCAATATCAAGTTCTTTTAAATTATTTACTGATACTGAAAGACATTTTTCAACTAGATGTAATATTTCAAACGGGTCTTGCTCAACCCATCCTTCTTGCGGACAGATTTGTTTAATCTCCTCTTGGTGGTATGTGAGGACTTCGGCTGTGTTGGCAGCAAACACGAGGAAGCGTGCACTGCTTGTTCCTTCGTCTATTGCTCCTACTAACGGGCCAAATCTTCCACGTGAACCCATCTGAGTTAGATTTTAGGAGTAGCCTATGTCATACAAATTTACTCAGTATCTGAAAAATAAAAGTCACGTTTTCAATTGCCTAAGTTAAGTTATATCAGGATTAGACTAATCTAGAATCAATCCTTGTGCAAATGTTTAATTGGTCATGAGTTAACACAAAAGTAAAGCACACCCGTCTTAAAACATAAGTAGGCTAAATATTGGGTTAAATAACAATTTGGATGAATGCTGCATAAACTGAAATAGGGTGCCAAGAAAATTGACTTAAGTTAGGCCTATCTTAACCCTTCCCGGACGGGCGAAATCGTGACATAGAACATGAAAAACAATACAAATAAATTTTCCTTATTTGTGTTTTCTTATACAAGTATAACTTACATAAAATAAACACAATGGAACACTTCATACTGTCAAAATAATTTTTTACTTGTTTTTAACTATGCGGATATATCCGCTACCCGTCCGCGCATGAGTGGAAAAGCAGCGGATATATCTGCCACCCGTCTTTGAAGATATGACCATGACAACATTAGGCAATAAATAAAGAAAAATAGGTATGTAAACAATAAATAAAGACAACGTAGTGTTGAGCGCAAAACGTCGAGGGGGGAGCGTAGGAGAGGTGGGGGGTGTGCGCGGGAGAGAGCGCAGCCATGGCAGAGAGCGGATATATTCGCCACCCATCCTTTATCGCCAAAGACTTAGGCGGATATATCCGTCACCTGTTCGTGAAGCCGTTAAACAAATGCACTAGAACATCTTTGGTGTAGCCTACAGACTTAAACTTAACTTGAATGATTTAATTATCAAAATTAGGGGCGCTACACAGGTAGCAGCGGCTTTTGTCGGACCTAAAACAGTTCCTGCCACACTACCGAGAGCAAAATCCGGTGACAGTCTAAAACAAAACATAAAACGGGTACACTTCCATATCTGTTGGCACAAACAACCAAATGAGTAATATAAGTTAGATTAGCCTATTCGATTGTTTAATTCGATATATCGTTTGGTTAGTTAGGTTAGGTTAACCTTACCTAACTAACCATTACGATATATCGAATAATCGATATATCGATCGATATTTTCATTCGGCTGTTTGTGCCAACAGATATGGACGTGTAAGTTTTAGCCTACCCCATAAAACCATTCAGAACAGAAACTTTGGAGCACCTGCAAGGAAAGTGTGTAGAACTGAGCTGTATGAGGGGGGAAAGAGTAGGTGGGTATATAAGCAATCTTATGTGACACAACACAATGTCGCCTACATTTAAATTACCTTAAGTAGCCTATATTACTTTTATGTGACCTTGCAGATAATCCACGGTCTAATCTCAGTAAAATATGCTTACAACAAGTGAATTTCTACAAGTTATAGAAAGCAGGTACAGAGTTTTCTCTGTACATATTGGACCTAGTTTTCTTTTCAAAGGCTGACTTCAATTATAGCCTTTAACCTTACTTAAAAGTCCTAAAACTAGGTCTACTTCCAAAGCAGACACGACCAGTCCATATGCATAACGAGTTAGGACAAAATATTTTAAGAACTTACCTTAAAATAATTGAAGCACAATCATTTTGCCAGTTAACATAAAATACGGTGAGTTTCCGTGTATTTAATTGGACCAGAAAAGTTACGTTTTTGTATGATAGCCTATTTGGATAAGTGCTAGAAATTTCTCAGAACTGCGATACCAAATTTAAGAATATTAAAATATTATCAATATATGCCTACACAGTATAAACAAAATTAATGCCGCATCTATGATGATGAATTGAATTGATGGATGATTCAATTTCAATTTGTAAGGTTATGTCGGGTCGGGTTATGTCCATGTCCATCCATTTGATTAGAGTGTCAGTCTGAGTCTAGTCTTCCTTCAGTTTCAGGTTTCAGTGTAGGTAGAACGGAGTGGAGTCGGAGTGAGTGAGGAGAGGACTGAGGGAGGAGCAGTGGAGTACACTCAGTGTTGCCAGATTGGCCGCATTGAGATATAGATTATAACTGGAGTCACTACTCTCTGGTTAAAAGTTGGAGAAAAACGTGCCACAGTTTTGGCTGGTTTGTTTTTGGTGTTTCGTGTTGTTAGGTTGGCCGTGTGATCGGTTGGTGGGATGCTGTCAAATAATTCCAATTCATTCTAACCTAACCATACTATTTATTTGGGGTTATGTTATTTCAAGGACTTGTATCAACAACTTATTTAAGTTATTACACGTTAAAACATCTGTATTTAAAGTTATTTGAAACATTATATATTGTTTTTGTTTGATAGTAAATGAATACTAACTTATTTACCTCTTTTCAAGCTATGTGGTGAAAATAGGCTAGTCAAATTTCCTCGTTTGGAGATATTGGTTTAGGCCAATAGCCCTATGGCATTTGATTAAATAACGTCTATCGGTTTATGATCTTGTTAAAATGGGTTGCTCTTGCTCGTAAAATAAATAAATAAACTTATATTTCAATCATAATGTTGAGTTGGCAGAGTTTTGTTTACTACTGTATCAACAAAACAGGATGACGCCATCTTGATCTTGCCTCTAATTTGACAAGTCCCACCAACCCGATCACCCGGCCAACCTAACAAAACGAAACTCTGAAACAAAACCAGCAAAAACAGTGGTACGTTTTTAAAACACAGAGTGGTTACTCCAGTTATTATTATAGCTCAGTGATTGGCCGGCGTAAATTATCGTACAATCAGTCCAAAATTATCGTATTTGGGGCAAAATTATCGTACACACAATTTCTTTTATATTATAATGTAAAACAAGCAAGTCGATGATGGAATGGCCGAAATTCTACTCTATTTGTCTCTGCCGTCCACCGTTTTTGCTCTACCAGCCTACCACTGAGCTAGAAAAATACAAATTCTACCGGAGGCAGCACACTATCACATTGTACACAATCACACACACACAGAATCTGAATCTCTGCTAGAAAAAAAATGAAACGCTGTAAAATGATGGTATTTTGGTTCTCAACCGGAAAAATCAACCAGCTCATTGCTTTTTTCATTCCATTTCCCTACTGCCAATGTACTGAGTACAATAATTAATTAATTGAAGGTACTGTACATCGTAATCTAACCTACCCCTAGTACAAATGGCGGTCAACTTCTCTCAGAATCAAAATAGTCAAAATTCTCCTATTAACACTTAAGTTGGTAGCCATTGGGCCCTCTCTAACACAGCTGATGCCTTTGCAAGGTTGCCAGATCGAACAGCAACGAAGTGATGTTACCGTTTTTCCATATATTAAAAGTGTGAAACGTGTTTAAATGTAAAATAATAAATATGAAATAGTGTATGTACAACTGAATTCATTATTATTTCTACTTTACAGGGGGCGGTATTCCACGTCCTCCCTATTCAATAACTTGAGTCTCGTGTTTTGACATGAAGGAACATCATGAATCTATTGCCTAAAGGAGTATGTTTTATCATTGACTATATATAGTCAATATCAAAAGAAACAAGTTAAGCTATTTAAAAGTGTCTTTTAAAAATTTCAAAATATGTGGAAATTTTAATATATAAAAAACATTCTTCTATATTTAAGTACACGACCCTTTGACTTTAAGTTTATATAACCAATGCCAAATTGATTTTAAACAAAGGTCTTCGCCGTGTACTGTTTCTTACATTTTCTTTTTCGTGTGGCTTCGCCGCCGGTGTCGGGTGTCGGTGTCAAGTCAAGTACTGAGTACTGCTCTCTGCAGTCTGCCACTCTGCCTGCAACGAAACTGTCAACTCCAACTGTCAAGTCAAGGCTCAGGCAGGAGTGTCAACGTTAAGTGTAAGTGTTTTGATCGTGTCATTTAGGTTGTATCAAATCTTTTAAATAGAAATCCACACAACCGATCATCATTATATAAGTTAAATAATATTATCAAATTACTGATGAAAACTGGATCCTTCCTGGAAAACTGGAGTTTACTTAGTTTCTTTACTTTAATCTAACATAACCTTTAAACTTAATATAGATAATTTTAGGAATTCAAATTAGGCTGTATCTTTTTTTTAAGAGCGGTACTCCAATATCAATTATTGTTTATTTTCCAGGTCTAATTTAGAGTAGAGCTGGTTATTGATGTGACTACCATTATTTATATAAATCTCATGTGAAACTCGGGTTACACATTAAGTTAGGCCTAAGTTTAATTTTAGTAAACTTAACCTTAACTTACTAAAAATGGCCAAGGCAAAAGTTCTATCTTTTCATCTGGGTAAATCTGTTTGCATGAATGGATCCAGCCAGTTGAAAGGGGGGAGGGTGCTGCTTTAAAATAATTTCATGGAGTGCTAACTAAGTAAACAGCACCTGGGCTGGAGTTAGGTTATAAAACCTCTTTTTAAACATAGCCTAACTGGAAACATGCATTGTGTGTTAAACTCGAATCATCGTGTTGAATTCAATGATACTCAAACCATGCCTACTTCTAAGTGTACCTACTATTTTATTAACATTATGTAGGCCTATAGGGCCTAAGTATTGCTCTAAAGAGGGGCTGCAGTCCTCACAGCCCCCTCCCCCTGGATTTGCCCTTAGCTGACTTACCTTTAAGCATGATTAGCCTGGGCCTAATCAGCATTAACTAGAGTTTACTATATTCTATTTCTATCTTATGTGTGTTTCATCTTCACCCTTTGTAGCCATTGTGTTTAATTTTTAAGGATGTTAAAATAAATTTAACATAGTCGTAATTTCCCAGAGTTGTTATCGGTAATAAATAAGTTAGCAACATTTAATAACAGAATTTGATGGTGGTTACTCCTTCAATGTTCCTTAAAATTAAGTCAACACTTCATTTAAAGGAATCGACTTAAGCTCCATCAGTTTTTGTTAAATGTTAGGGAGTGGAAACCTTTGACAGTTTCATCCCAAACCAAACAAAGTTACTTGAATACTTGTATTCAAGCTACTAGGCCTAGGCTACATCTATGCACAAATGTAGTTTGAATTGGTATTAGCTTAACTTTCTGTTTTAGGTTTTTATACACCAGATGTAATGCTTCGGCAGAGGAAGAAAATATCTTTGGATACTGTAAGGGAGTTGGATTCATTTCCAAAATTACCTGAAACGTTTGTGGAAACATCCAGGGTCGGAGGAACATGTGAGTCTTTATAATAAAAAGATATAAATATAATAAATAGTCAAATATAGGTATCTTCTTAATATTTTAAAAATAAGTTTCTGTTAACGGAAATGTTTTGATCTGCTGAGCTATTAACTGATAGGCAACTGATTAGGCTGATAGGCCTTGAAATTAAATTGAAAGTTTAATTTTACTTCACCAAATAAATTACGTGAAACTGGGGAGGGATCAGCAATGTCTACTGCCTCTTCTCTTAAGTTATCGCCCCTCCAAAAAAATTCTTGTCCTAGGAAAACTTCACAACCAAGATGGTGTCACAGTATGATGTGTCATTACGAGGATGACACAACTTCAGAAATCTGCGGGAAAATCTTTGTGGGGAACACAAAGTGTGCAAGACATTAAATCTACTTCATTTCCTGATAAGCAGAGACAAGTGTATTACAATCCTTGTTATTCATACTTGTGTAAACCATCTTACATTGTTGTACAAATTGTAAAATCGCTGCTTGCCATAGAAATAAATAAAATGAAATAAAACAAATAAACAATCCGTGGAGGCCCTTCCCGTTTTCTGACAAAAATGTGTAGGCCTACGGTAGGTACCTTAACAAATGTTAAATGTGTTTCTATAGGATTGTAATTCATAGAAAGATAATGAAGCGGCTTTTAGTTTCCTACGGTTTAGTTAGTTAAACAGTGTTTTACTGTAGGACTATCTAAAACTGAATAACCTAAACAAGTTTAGATTCAGTAGAAAAATTGGATGCTTTATTTGTTGTAAGCAATAGGCCTAATAAGATAGGCCGATTAAAAACAGCTTGGTAAAGTTAAACTGTAGGTTCTTATAAAAATGTAAGTTTTGCACAATTTTTGTAAACAATAATTTATTAATTCCAGTTTCAATTATAACTGCGGGCATCATATCGTGGCTGATATACTCAGAGATATCGTACTACCTACAGAGCAGGTTTATGTTCAAGTTTGTCCCTGACACTGACTATGAAGCCAAACTGAAGATAAACATAGACCTCACTGTTGCAATGCCTTGTCACAGTAAGTACTGAATAAAGTTTTGATGTTCGCTTTAGAACTTTTGCTGAAGCAACAGTTTCTTATCTGATCAATTAGATCGACAAAGACAAACATAGGTAATAAGGATTGAACTTTTACTGAAATTTTGACTGTGAATTTGAAACTTTTCATAAACCCTGACTTTTCTTCTTAGGAAGTAACAAAACAAGATATAAACTATATTTAGAGTTCTGAGAACAGCACCTTTTCTCCTAATACTATTTCATTTTACTAGCAATGAATAGGCGTATTGTAGCATAAAATTATTATTAAAATTTATTTTCAAAAAAATAAGTTTCCAACAGATTTTTTAGTGTTTTTCTTTTCAAAAATATAGAATTTGAAAATTCAAACAAGTTTCTTAAAGTTGCTTGATTTCAAAGATCGGTGACGGTTCATAACTAATCCATACATCTACTGACAACTTGAAACACTAGATGTACTCCAACGGGTGTTTACTGTTTACCGTAGATTTTATTTCACATACAGTAGACTCCCTCTTATCCGGACTCCTCGGGACCGAGGCCAGTCTGGATAACAGTTTAACGGTTAAGCCGATGTCCGGTTAAAAGGTGTCCGGATGAGAGGGAGTCTACTGTAAAAGAAAATGAGGTATTAGTTTTT